GTTCAGTATTCTGTATAAGCCCAACAAAATAGAAGTGTTTCACTTTCAGATACAGTTGAGCCAAGAACTATGCAAATACCAAAACAACCTGTTCAAACTGCCTCATGCTTTATCTAACATGCAGCAAGAGTGGACAATTGTTGAACTGTTTTGCTCTGGAGCGGCTTTGCCTGTCAGTGTTGCAGCTTTCCAAATATCAAGCAAGCAGCATTATGACTCACTTTTGGAATTCAAAAAACAAATGTCTATCCTGTGTCTATGATTCATGAAAATGATGATGGCATCCAACTGTCATACTACAGAGGAAAAAGGAGTAAATAGCAAAAAAGAGATCAGATCAGATTAATTCTTTCAAAACAGTTCTTCTCCCTACCCTCTCCAACCAAGGAAATAGAAGGGAATTACTGGAGGGGCTGTTGGCCATGGAAAACAGCCGAGCTTTTCCACAGGGCACAGAACTCACCAAGCAACCAGAGTGTCCGAGTACAGCATTTACATAGATGTTTTTGTTCTGAAAGTGAACAAAAATGCAAACTTCTAAAGTTTACCAAGACATTAAAATGACCCCCTGATTTGTTTCCTTTACATAACTGCATATAAGAATAATGCAAATCTCAATTGTTAAAATATAATGTAAGATACCTACTGTAACAAAGCGTTACATCTGTCTACAAACACAATATTAAATTTTAATCTGATTTAAAACATTTTAACATGTTCAAAGTGAAATGAGAAAGACAAATAACTAATTTCACCATTTCCTCAGTAAGCTGAGAAGAAATAAAAATACCTCCTACTTGATTTGAAAACAAAAGAAAATTCAGCTTGGACAAAGTTTCCCTTTCAATGAGAAAACCTCACCATTTTAACAAGTCCCTTGAAACGTGCGCTTTAATAAAAACCTGGTGTTCAAGTCTCCATTCGCTCTGCAAAGTTTGGAATTCATGCAGATAGCAATTATCGGTGCTGACTCAGCCATAAATCTAGTCCAAAATTGATTGAGAATTCTGTGACTTGAGTTTTTAAAGGAGCTACTTTTATGAATGCAGTGATAGAAATATTTGGTTTACAGATTTCCATTTCATACCATATTGGATCTGCTTTTCTGTCTAAAAAGAGATGCATGAAACAAATGCTACTATCTTCTAAGTGCTACTTACAGCACTTCATATATATTTAAACACTGTCAAGAGCAAGAGTAATCAGCTAAACAGCTTATTCCTTGCCTCTTTTTTAAATTAAAATTGAGTGATGCTCAGAGATGTTTTTGTAAATGTTAAAAATACAAATAAGTATGCAAAATGAGAGTAAGTTAACATATTATCTTAATTATTAGTACCATGCCAGGTTAAATTAATAAGTATTTTAATTAAGAGAAAAAAACAGTACAGTTGCCAGTTGTACTCTTCCTCATATCAAACACTATAGATAATCATAATTCAGTATGCAGCGAGTAATCATGCTTGCAAATGCATTTCAGAATGTGTCATTTGTCACAGCTAGCTCTGTTCACAGTCACACTTCTGTTGATAAAAGTACAGCAACTTTTTAAATGAAGTTAGATCCTCCAAATTTTAGGCAAAATCAAACTTCAGATTCAGATCCTGGCTTTCTCAAAGGTATACTTATTCTAGGTAGGAATGGATGCTGACTATTTATACACCGCAAAAAGCAAGGTGCCAATAGCACCTTGACCTTCAGGAACACAATAAGCTGTTTGACCTGGGAATTCAATAGCTACAGCCTGGTGCGACAGCGATTCCACCAGCTGACTTTTCATTGCATGACCACAGCAAAATTTTTGCTCCGTTGGGGAAAAAAGTTGTTCATTCTATGGAGGAGGAAATAGCAGTGTCATTTTTAATACCAAAAGCCCTCAGCACAAAGCTCTGCCATTTAAAGATAATTACAGCTTTTTAAAGCTTAAATCAAATTATGATCCTACTTCTACATAAAATAGCCAATAAATTACTCTTTGCATTTCTCTGATGAAAATTTTTAGTGCTGGCAGTTTCTTTTACAGCCAAGCTCACTTCCAAGCAGCTTGATACACTGTTATTAAATTTGAAATTTTAGTCACTACAATAGTAATTGCAAGAGCAATTCATGGAATATAAATCTCTGCTTTTGTCAGACACTCATCCATTTGCTCCATACACAACAGCAGGAGAGCTGTAACAGTTTAAACGCCTTGTAAATGAGTTTATTTGTATACTTAAAGCATGGAATACATTTTGCCCTGATGCAAAAAGCAACAGGAACTCCAAACCAAGTGGTGTAATCAGTGCAAGCAATTTCATCTGCAGTCCAAGATGCAGCTGTATTACATCATATATATATATAGTGCAACTGTATTAGCAACATGCTTCTAAATGAATTATTTGGCTTTTCAGTCACTGCAAGAAAACAGTTACAAGTGTTTGTTGCTGCTAAAGTTTGTGTGTGCATATGTGTCTATATGCACGCTTATGTGGCCTTTGCCAGAAGTTACGAGAAACAGATGTGCTGGTGAATTAGAATTAGTTCATTGTAAATCTCATACAATTTTCTGTTCTGCTCAGATTCATGTGGAGGACTGTAAATCCCCGAGGAAAACCCACAGGTCCTCTTCTTGTTGCTACATTCTGGCCCGATCTGCCAGAGAAAATTGATGCTGTCTATGAGGCCCCTCAGGAAGAGAAGGCTGTATTTTTTTCAGGTATTGGTTTTAAGCTTTAAAATTTAAGTAGTCATTTGCATAAATGTTGCATTCAAGCTCCATTTCCTCTGAGTTGTAACTGAGCGAGGCAATGGCGTAAGAGCCAGTATAGTCAGCAGGTATTGGTGACAGACGTTTGTCAAACATCCCATGCTGAGCATTTTAGGTCAAGGGCTGGATCTGAAAGACTCTCAACATCATTCAGTCTCCGTTACAACACAGGGGAGCTATAAACACCTAGAAAGGTCCATGCAACAATAAGCAAAACTACACAAGAGTCATTATTTAAAACAAAAAGTAACAACAACAGTGGGAGCTCTGTTTCATCAGTTACTGCTCTGTTTTTCTTCTGTTTCCTCTCATTTTAAGCTATTGTTTCTGTACATGTTGTTTGAGATTAGATCTTTTTCCACCACCACCCCTGCCCTGTACCTTTCCTTGTCCCCTTCTCTTTCGCTAGAGACTGACTTCCACTTTGGCTTCCAAGTATCTGCCTTGGTGGCTCATCAGGCAGAGGATGCAGGCGCCCATACTGGCTGCCACCATGGGAGAGGAGGGTGACAGGAAGCACTGTGCTGTGTGTTGTTAAGTCACACATATGGCTCAGCTGTACTGGCCAAATTAGTGAAGCTGGGAAGCTGCTTTCAACATGAAAAACTGAGCCAGCAAAACCTGGGCTCCACTGTAACTAAAAACATGACTGAACATCTCCAATCATGTAAAAACCATATGGCTGATGCTGCTGTATATTTTCCGTACAAGAGGGAAAAAAATAATGATAATCTATTCCACATGTCTTAAAGGCCATTTCCTTTAGTTTACATGCTTAAAAAAGCTTTATTTCAGGCAAGCCAAAACACTTCATATATTGCATATACTACATGTAATCCTATTACATCTAAACCTCTCTCTCTGCCTTTCTAAGTTCCAGGAAAATGTAACTAACCTGCCTTTAAATAAATAAATAAATAAAAGAGGTCTATCAAACAAAAAAAGACTGGTTTGAAACTGAAGTGTAACCCAACCCATCTTAATATACTTACTACTGAGACCACCCTTTGTTCCTGAATGATGAAATAGTCACTTCTCAGGAACTCAAACGCTACACTTTGCACTTTTCTCATATTCATACTGTACTTACTCTCTTTCCCACTAGCACAGAATCAAAGAAATGTCCTTTCATGAATGAATCTTTCCATGGTTTTCAGTGAATCCAGTGAGGGTATTTACTAATTAAATTAGCATTCCATGCAAAGAATGCAGAATACTAGTACATCTTCCACTAGTACCTATTTGGAGAGACATAAGAAAATGCCATATGACAAAAGACAACACAAACAGGAGCTCTCAGCAAAATCTTCCTGTCAATCACTCAATAAAAAAAATGGAAGGTGAATATAAAGATTATTAGCTATTTGTTTTAACATAACCACAACGGTACTAAGACAGTGTCTGCCTCAAAGACGAGACAGCTAAGAAGGGAAGAAGCAAGAGCACGCTGAGGTGATATCTTTTGCTAAGAGACAAGCAACACTTAGGAGGCAAAAGCGTAAGTTTTAATCACAGTACACCCACACTAATCCAGTGCTTCACAGACTGTAAAACACTAGGAAGACTAGCAGTACAGTTACTACAATAAAAGGTCACATAAAGAAACGTAAATGAAGAAATATTTCTCTGTATCTGACTGATAAAGCAGTGTTTGTTTGTTTTCTCCCCTACACAGGAAATGAGTACTGGGTTTACTCAGCCAGTAACTTGGATAGGGGCTATCCAAAGAAACTCACCAACCTGGGACTACCCCCTGATGTGCAACGTGTTGATGCAGCTTTTAACTGGGGCAGAAACAAGAGGACATACATTTTTGCTGGAGACAGATACTGGAAGTAAGATGTATTCAAGTGGTGCTTGTATGCTGTTGGCAGAGCTGTGTCTCTAGGGCTGAATGCACACTGGGGCTCAGGAGGCAGGAACCAAACCCAGTGGGTTCATCCTTTGAGAATACAAACTGCGGGCTGCCAGGACAGCACTGGTGGTGGTGGCAAATGAGGATGCTGAAACAGGGAGCATGGGTAGGAAAGCACTTTTGAGAAAACAGCTTGTAAGGGAAGAGGATATCTGAGAGTCTCTGTCAGGCTGCTTACTGCTAACAACCTATCCCTCAACCCCCACATCCCAGCAACTGCCTCATGTCAGTCTCAGACTCTGAAGAGGGCCTAGCTGTCCCTACAGTCTGCTCACAACTGCTCGGAGAAAACTCAGAGTAATTGCTTAAAAATGGGCTGATCACTTGAAGCCAAAACCTGACTAGATTGCCTTTGAAATTATTTCACCAAGCCATCAGGTTTGGAGGCACTAGATGTAAAAGGAACAGCAGTGTGACTAGCAAAGCATGCTGGGGATGACTGTAAATCCTTTCAGTAGCTGATGTTCCAGTCACTAATGCTCCGGTCACATTTGCTTTACTAATAGAGTTGGCACCGAGGAGATCTGAACAAACATGAAGTGTATCTGCTGGTACTGTGGGAAAAATCTTAAGCTTCAATTCAATATAGATTATGTTTAATTTTAACATTAAATACAGATTTGTAATGCAGGGATATAATTTTCTTCAGGTACAATGAAGAGAAGAAGAAAATGGAGATTGCATCCCCTAAATTCATTGCCGATTCTTGGAATGGAGTTCCAGATAACCTTGATGCTGTCCTGGGACTTGGTGACAGTGGTAAGCTGTACCTCTGATCTAAGCCACTAACAAGCTCTCTTATTATATATTATTTTTATATTATATATTCATTCTGCTGTGAAACTCATTCGAGACTTTAATTTCTTTGGTCCGTTAGTAGGAGCCAAATTCCCATTCTGCTTTGCAAACTACTGTTTTAAACAAACTTTTTTTGTCTCTTTATTTTCCCACAAAATATCAGTTGATAAATATCCTACTAATCAAGGTTTAAACTTTTAAAATTGAAACATTTAGGGAATATGAGCTCTGCTGAATATTTTTATCCGAACAATTAATAATAGTTATGCTCATTTCTCTTTTCATGAAGCTCATTTAATTTCAATCTACTACTAATTTTTATCATTTACTACCTTGCTGAACTCTTTGCAAAGCTTAACAAGAAAAAGCTTTTGTTGGCATGTTCCTCCTTTCCCTTTTCTTCCTCGCTTTGTTTTGTTTTGTTTTATTTTAAGGCTATCTACCGTCTTGTTTAAGTGCCTTGAAGCATCTTATAGCTTTCCATTGCTACACTGTACAGGTCTAGAAACCTGCTATACACATCAGACAGGACATGAAAGAAAGTAATCCATGATGCAAGATGTCCCTGGGTTCACGTTGGTTTTCCAGTTTGGGTATGGGGAAAAGAGTATTCTCTTTCTCGTGTAGTTTGAGACAGAGACTAAAGCAACTCCTGCCACCTAACGCCTGACGCACAGGATGTCCTAACAGCTGAAGGGACAAGAGGGCCAGTCCTTACGGCTTTGGAATTTCCCTACTTCTTGATAGCTCCATAGGTTCCTCAGTACCAGCATGCAGTCACAGCCTAATTTCAGCATCATCCTGTTCTAGAACACCCAGAATTTGCATATGATTGATAATCTTCTTGATCACAGGCATAAATGGGTTGTATTTTGCCCTTCTTTAACCTCCTATCAACTGCAGCTGAGAGCCTGGCCCATGGTTTTAAGTGGTCTCATATTTTGCACAGATACGCATGAATATCTGGAAGCACCACTGATCACACAGAATCATACACAGAATTGCTCGGTTGGAAAAGACCTCTGAGATTATCATGTCCAACCGTTCCTGTCTACCCACTAAACCATATCCTTAAGTACCTCATCTACCCGCTTTTTAAATACATCCAGGGATGGTGACTCCACCACCTCTCTGGGCAGCCTGTTCCGGCTTCTGACGACCCTCTCAGTAAAGAACTTCTTCCTTATCTCTAACCTGAACCTCCCTTGGCACAGCTTGGTGCCATTTCCCCTTGTTCTATCCTCCAGATAACACATGAGTCTCAACTCAGTTATATTCTCAGCATCTGTTTTGCCAGAAAATATTTCTTCCTAGAAAATTCTGGTTCACAAAATCTTAACCTGAATTCAGGCTCCATTTAACAAGATTTATTTTCTCCAGGTTGGGAACTATCCATTTTTAAAATACATCTTGTTTGTCGTATATAAATATTTTGGGAAATAAGTTTTCCAGTTCATCAAGCTTCATGAAATCAAACCAACAAAAAACCTTTGATCAAGAATCACGTGCTTCGTAATCTGAGTATGCTTTTTTATTTACCTTCACAGGATATACCTACTTTTTCAAAGATCAGTACTATCTACAAATGGAAGACAAGAGTTTGAAGATTGTTAAAATTGGCAAGATAAATTCTGACTGGTTGGGTTGCTGAACTTTATGAGAAATTAATAACCAAATATTTACTTTTTTGCTATACGCCTTATCTGTAATTAGAAATAGACCTGAATACTAATTACTGGACCAGTCTGGTACTGGCATCAAAACATTAAGTACCAGTACTGTATACATCAGATAATTTAAGTGTTTGCCGCCTCAGTATATGAAAGATGTTTACATATATATTCTGGTACAATTTTTCAGTTTTCATGCTAGTCATAGTAATGCAGGTAACAGAACATCCCTCTTTCTTTATTCCCCTGGTGCTTAAACACAGCATTGAAACAATTGGAAACTGGATCACACCCTGTGTTATACACATGCCCAATAGGCTCAAAAGAGATGTACCAGCAGTGCACCTTGATTTTTTTTTTTAATACAACTCTGTTATAAATAGATGGTTTGTCTTGATGTTTTTCACCCTTTTGCAAGTTCAATCATTACTTCCATTTATTTACATAATAATACAGAAAGACTGTCAAAGGCACAGGTTGCCTCAGGATTTGATTTGTGTTGATACATGATGGAATCATGGCAAGAAACTGTTAAAGTATTGTTTTAAAGTACTTTTTATTTTAATACCTTAGTTAAATTTAGCAATTTGCTTCATGCACTTTGTTACTATGATATAACTTGTTTATATGGATGGAATGACTCAGATTTTTTAAGTCAATGCATTATACACAAAAGTCAAGTATTATTGTTTAACTTGGTTCATTTTTCTGTTCTTTATAATATTGAGGTTTGTTTCAGTTAGGTTTTTGCGTGTGCATTGGGCAACAGAAAAAGTTCTTTTCACAATCTGATGGAATGTTTCTTATTAAAAAAATAAAGCAGAAAAGAATGTCCCACACATGAAGTACCAAGGATACAAATAAAATCAAATTACACTGTCAACACTTCTCATGGCCCGGCTTCCTTGTATCATTTGAAATTAGAAATTCAATAGCATGTTGCAGTGAAATACCTGTCAGAGAAAAGGCAATTTTTCCCCAGTATATAACTGCATATTGGATTTATTTAGAAACCTAGGTTACTTTCTCTGTTAGTTCTAAGATGTAACTGCAGCAATTTACATTAAAGAGATCATATGGTCCCATGCCTCCACGAAGCCCGCTGCCTCCTCAGAACAGTTTATGTGTCTGACTATTATCCACGCTATTTCTCCTTATCAGCAGCCTACCTCACAACCCAGACAGGAAGAGTCTGTCAGCACAGGCACATACAGTTGTATGTATCCTATAGGGAATATAAGCTTGAGAAACAGACATAAAACCTTATTCCTGCCCATGAGATCAGGACACCATTTGGCCAAGGATCTTATACAGCTTCATGAACATGAAATGCTTTGTGAGACTCTATGAACTGCATCATGCAAGTGGTCAATCCAGATCCTTCTCATCATGTCTCTCACATTGAGTCCATGATTCATGAAACTGGCTAGTAACCAACCAATACCTGAACCAATGATCAACTGGCTTCTTCTGATGTCCTCTACAGTTTCTTGTTTACACTCAGTGCTCTCCTGTTTTAAGCAGAAGTTTTTTACTATGATATTCTGAAAAGATACTACTTCTCAAGAGGCTTCATTTGCCAAATCATCTTTCCATTGCACATTGTCCAGATACAATTCCCTCTTTGGGAAAGTTCTGATTGCTGCAGACAATTCTCACCTGGATGAATCAGTACTATTTTCATCTATGCCACAAGAAAAGACAGCTATCTCCTTCTGAGCACCCTCACTTTCCTCAGAAATCATTAATTGCCTTCCCTGCACCAGCATCAACAAAATAAGGCACAAAACAAAGTACGTGTAATTGCAAAATGTTAGTATTCCAGTCAACACCTGGCAACCTCCTCAGGATTGCAGGGTCTACTGAGCCATTCCAGGGATAAATGGTCTGCCCTAGGCAGAAACATCTTCCTATACTAGTGGTGAAAATATTCTGCAGTGTTAATGACTGCCAGGAGTTCCTTTTGAGTGTTGCAATAAATTCTCCCCACAGAATTTAAGCTCAATGTTTTAAGCATCCTCAATAGTATCCCCTCAAGATTTTTATATTCTTGTGTCAATACGCCTCGAACTGCATGCTCTAGTATCTGTAATATGAAGGGTTTTGAAATATAGATACACTAAACGAACCTTTGCAATGGGCCTTTTCAGCTATGAACTTGCTAAATCACATTTCTACTGATGACTGAAACAGTTTCCTTTTCGTCTACAATGTATATGTACATGTTACATCTATGTTTTTCAATATTGGCAAATGCACCGACTTACCTGCTGTAATAACACCACCATAATCCTACAAAACTCTGCACAACTTATGGGTTTAAGGAATTCTGCTTAGTTTGTTTTGTTCTTGCCTGTGTAAATCCATTCTCCAATGACTGCATTACTGGCAGAAAAACAGAACTAAATTTTCTACCCTTAAACCAACTCACACTTCTTTGGGTTCAGTTGCAGACTGGCAACCTTAAGCTTATCACAGGTCAACTATAAGCACGTCTGTTTCCATTCATGAACTGTAACATTTGCCAGGTTATCACCTACATAGATCATAGGGCTGGAGGAGTATACTGACCCTTCTCATTAAGCTTTCACATTTGACCTGCCAATTGTCAAATTTGACAAAATGTCCCCTGAAAATGTCTTTGGGACTAATTCCACTTGCTGGCAGCCACTTTTAAAACCATGCTGCTGGAACCCAGAAACAACCTGCTTCACCCCCAGGATATCACCTACTTCTACAGTGTTATTAAATGGAAGTCAGGTTCACTTCAGCCTTTTTGATGTCGGGGCACAGTTGCACACAAGCTGCACAGGATCTGTGCAGACACTCTTGCTCCTTGAGCTGAAGGACATTTTCTATCAGTTAAGAGCCAGATAGGCTGCACCCACCCAGCTGGGCAGTTCCAATCCAATGGAGAAAGTTCAGTAACTGCTCTATCACAATAAATAAAAGGCAGTCAAGGCTACAATGAAATGCCACAGTTTAAATACTTAATAGACACAGCAGCCTGAACTGTGAATTATGCTTAACAGTTTGTGTCTCACTAACATGCTGTATTTGTTAAAAACACATTTACTTTCTGCTATTTTGTCATGATTTTACAAAGCTGCAGTTACCCATAAATTAAGCAATTTAAGCAATTGACTGTAACTGTGCTGTTCTTTAAATCAGGAAGAAGCAGGTCCTTTGGGCCCATTTTGGGCAAATTATTTTGATTTACAAACCCAGACATGCATGTTTTTAGCAGCAAAGACTGGGTGAACGAAAGTTCTGCTTCTAGAAGAGATGAAGCCAACAAATGAGCAGGCATTGGGCTCTGTGGGTGTCGTGGTTTAGGCCCAGTGCGTAACTGAGCACCATGAAGCCCCAAAAAGAGGGCTAGTCAATATAAGGACTGAGAGGGCTTCTCACCACTTAAACAGTCACGGGCAAAAGACAGACTCATCATAGGGAGAAAAACAAAACAATTTTAATTGGTTACCAAACAACATCAGAGTAAAACAGTGAGAGATACTTCTGTTCCTGGTTTCTTCATCTCTGCCTCTTTTGCCTCCTCCTCCTCCCTCTCCTTTCTTCCTTCAACCAACCTTGGTGTTTTTTAAAGATGTTCTCCTTAGGTCCCACTCCTTTCTTCGCTCTGGATTCCTTCTGATGGTTCTGAAGTTCCCGCCTCTCTCTCATTTGGGCTGGAGCTGCAGCGGAGTTTAAGCTTAAGCTGGGACTGGGCCAGGCAGGGCTGGGGCTGGGGCCACACTGGTCAGGGCCGGTGCAAGAGAGCAAGCATGAGTGCACTGCACTGCCCCTTAAATAGGTGAATTTGCAGGAGTGCTGATTGGCTTGGCCCTGGTCAGAAGTGGGTCTGACATTGGAGCTGGGGTAGCTTTTCAAGTAGCTTCTTACAGGGCTATTTCCATAGCCGTCCTCCACTACCAAAAACATAACCAAAAACCCCTCACAGAAAACCCAATACAGTGGGACCACTGCAAATGCAGAAATTTATACCTGCAAGGGGAAACAGTGTATTCCAGAAAAAAGTAGTCACAACTACTAAGGTATTTCAAGGTAGGGAACTGTGGTAAAGACAAAACCAAAACCAGAACAAAACCCCCAAAAACCAACAAAACCAACAACTCTGAGGCTCTGTCAGAGAAATGGCACAGTCAGGCAGAACTGGAGGTGTCTCAAAAGCTGCCAGCAAGGTCTCTGCATACCAAGCCTGTCAGCCTCACATGCTATTACTTGAAAATAAGTCTCCTTCTGGCATTGCCTTTCAAAACAGAAGTGAGAGCAAAATGGCATCTTGGGGTAAATCATCCAGTGCTGAGATTTACACTTGCACACAAACAGCCATAGTTTCACACAAAACTAGCCAGGAAGCTGGGTACATGGCTTCCCTCCACCCCAACTGAAACAGCAAGTCTTTACCTGCAGAAATAAATGGGCTCAAATTTTCTGGGTGTACCATATTCAGTATAAATAACAGAATTCAACGACATTCATTCATTCTCATCATTACATTAAAAATATTTTTAATAAGATTTCCAATTAGTCTTTTCTTAATTGAGACAAATATCAAGAAACCCTGTTATTATCTCAGCACTCTTTAGTCTAGTAGAGAAAGATACGGTGTGAACCATTGCCTGGAAAAGAACATAAACTGAAAAAAAATGCACACTTTACTAGTGGTAAAAACAATAAATCTGTGTACCAGGCTCCTGAAACAAATGAGAGGTGTTTTCTTCACAGTTTTGTTTGGTTTAGGGTTTTTTTATGTTTTCAGATCAAGACTCTCTGCCTTTTTTTTTCTTCTGTTGTTTCTCATGTGGTTAAAGTCTCTTCTATTTAGGTCCTTCTAAAATCCCCATTCGTAGAACTTTGTAGGACTCTCTTTGTGAATAATAACTTTCATCTATCCTTACATTTAGATGCCTTCCTATATAGTACTGTGTAGCACTGTCTCAGTCTTCTCTCTCTTGTTTTATATCCCTGATTATGTCTGTACAATCATGGCTTCATTCTGTGCTCAAATAGATTAATTCCAGTTCCTCTCAGTTTCACGCACTATTTTTGAATCTAGGAATATCCTGAAGCTAAAAGGGAATTTGTTTTCAACCCAAAATGTAGGGCATATGCCTAAAGGATCTTCAGCTTTCAGGTTTTGCGTTGGCTTTTGCTTCAAGCAAGTCCTTAGACGAAATGCATAATATATCAAAGCACTCCTGGCCTTTACAGATTTTGCTTTGGTTTCACTGCACTTTTATCACCTCTTTATTCTTTTGTTCTTTCAGCTTTGTTTCTTACATAAAAAACTAGAAATTGTGACCAAAACCCGAAATTGTCAGGGAGGAGTTAGCCATTACCTGTTAATCATCAGTTCAAACTCACTGTAGGAAACAAGACCATGTCACCTTCAGGTATTTTTGTCTACACACACTATTTTTGCATGCAAATTCTGTACTATGGACAGAAATATTGGGAAATAAGACAGGAGAAGTTGCAAGCAGATTCTGCCCTTGATTTGCTGTATTTTTTAGTGAAATCATGAGCTTAAAGAGAGCTTTTCCATTTCAATCTCAGCACTCCTTCTCTGTTACTACATCTGCTACACAGACTCTTCCTTTCTACTTTTCATTCTGAGTTTAGAATAAGGGTGTTTCATCTATATGTATTCGAGCCAGAGAGGCCACG